CAAGTGCAAGCAGGTCAATTGCGAGGTGATCCCAAGAACTGTAGGGGTGTGGGGAAGTGGGAAGGGACGGTGGCCACCACAGGGAGCGTGGACAAGCATGCTGTCGCTGTGAGTGTCTCTGCTCATGCCTCTGAAAAGCTGTAGAATGAGTTTTGGAGTCATTTCACTTGATGCGCAAGGTATTACCCACTGGGGCTCCCCTCAGTCTTTGATCAAAGGTGGTTCTCAGGGGCCTCTGCACCCCAACACTGTGGCCTGCCCTGCATGAGGGGCCACGGGTGCCTTCAGTCAGAGAGGACCTGGGGGCGCTTGAGGAGGAAGCCACTGGTGTAGATGGTTTGTGTCCTATATACGTCTGGTTATCCAGATGGAATAATCTGGACATGCATGGCAGGTCTGGCAGTCAGGGCAGGAGATGGATGGCTCACACAAGGGGGAAGAGAAGAGAGCTGTCGGGTGAAGGCAGACTTGAGGAGGTGTGGGCAGGCGTGGCAGTCACGAGGAGAGGTAAGTGGCCAGGAGTCCCAGCACTCCGAGGCCTGAAGGGGGACCACTGCCTCCTCACCCCTCAGGCGGGACAGCCCCAAGGCTTGTTCTACAACATTGTTTTCCAGAGGTCTGAGCCCAGTGTTCACCATAAGCACCATGGATGTCCCCTGTATTGGCCGCTTTTGCTTTCCCGGCCCACTTCCCTGCTCCCCTAACCGGCCCTATTCTATCCAGTTAACCTTCTCGGTGGGAGATGGTGAGAGATGGAATGGAGGAAAAGAGGTCACCCAACCGGAGTGTGATCTTATGGAGAAAATTGCAGCCCTGCCCAGGGACAGCTTGCCAGACAACAAGCTGAGGGCAAAAGCATCACATTCCTTCTCTTGCCCGAGCCCAAGCCGGAGGACGGGGATCTCCAGCGATGTGATGCCTCCCAGAGAAGCATCTCCCAGGGCACAGAGCAGGGAGGGCAAATCAAGAAGACCCAACTCCTCTCTCCTGCCAGGATGCAGCCTTTAACCTGCACTATTCCGATTGGTATTTCTGCTGCCAAAGAACTCCTTTCATGGCAAATGCAGCTTTATCCGACCCCACTTTATACCTGTCAACTCCTTGTAATATAATACAGTATCTAAATTACTTTTCATTGACCCCATGCTTCTTCTTTTTTTTTTTTTTTAAGATTTTATTTATTTATTTGACAGAGATCACAAGTAGGCAGAGAGAGGGGGAAGCAGGCTCCCTGCTGAGCAGAGAGCCTGATGCATGCGGGGCTCAATCCCAGGACCCTGAGATCATGACCTAAGCCGAAGGCAGAGGCTTTAACCCACTGAGCCACCCAGGTGCCCCGACCCCATACTTCTTTTGCCTCAAAACAACCGGGTCAGCTGGGCAGAGCAGGTGTTAGTGTTCATTCCCTATTGATCCAGGAGTCCAAATCTTATCTTTAGCTTCAAAGTCCAGCATTCGCTCCAGTACACTATGTCCTTCCAGGAGTCAAGGTCGTTAGTGCTCAGCAAGGACCGCACTCTGAGGGTTTGCCATACATCTTTGTAATTGCTTGGCTGGTACTCAGTCAGTAACCAAACTTCTCAATTTCTGAAGGTCCCAGTTAGCGTCAACTTTCTTGGTTTGATAACGATCTGACCTAAATTAGACGTGACCTAGGTGGTGCTACAGATGGTCTGTGTGTGCCCTCCACCCACCAAATTTATGTGTTAAAATCCTAACCTCCAGTGTGGTGGTGTTATGAGGTGGTTAGGTCATGAGGGTGGAGCCCTCAAGGGTGGGATTAGTGCCCTTCTAAGGGGCTGCAGAGACCAGAGTTTTCCCTTCCACCATGCAAGGACACAGGGAGTAGACAGGCATCCATGAACGAGGAACGGGGCTCTCATCAGACCTGGAATCTGTTGGCACCTTGATCTTGGACTCCCCAGCCTCCAGAACTGTGTGCAATACATTTCTGTTGTACCTGATCGATGGTATTCTGTTGTGGCGGCCCAGATGGTCTAAGACAGGAGGGTACATTATCTCTCTTTAACTGTGGAATTTCATGGAAAATCTACTTGGGCAGAGGAAGGCCGACAGAACTAAACTTGCTGAATGCCTACTGGGTGCCAGACAATTTGTAAATGCCGTCACTTTACAGATGGAGAAACCAGAGCCCAGAGAGGCTGAGTCACTTGTTCAAGGTTACACAGTTAGTAGGGCAGAGCCAGGAATGCAATCTGTGTCCCACTGACTCCAAATTCCATATTCTTCCGTGCTTCAGTAAAGGTTTCCAGCAGATGATGGCTAAGGAAATCAATACTATTTTTTGAAACACGACAAAGAGGGTAAGGAATGATTTTGGGGTCCCCCGTGACACACGCATGATCCTTCTCTTGCAGAAACTCATCCTTGAGCTGCACTGTTGGCAGGCTGGGGACCTGGGCTCCGGAGCCAGATCACTATCATCCCGCTCCGGCTGGTCATTGGTCCTTTATTCACTGTGTAACTTTAGATGAGTTATCCAAGCTCCTAGTGCCTCAGTTTCCCCACCCCCGCAAAGTAGGGTCAATAGTATCCTTGCCCCTAGACGTGTAAGGGACATTAAGCAAAGCTCAGGGTGCCTGGTGCAGAGTAACCCGCCAGGAAGATCAGCCATGAGGATGTCTCTGACCCATGACCCGTCCTAGAGAGTGTAGGGGTGGACCTGGAAATGCCGGGAGTCCAGGACCCAGAGAGAGACCCACAGGCGCCAGGACAAACAACCGCCGTTCCCTATGGGTGGAAGCGTCTGCACCCGCCAAGCGAGTGGCACATTGAGGGGTGGGCGGGTCTCATCAGAAACGTATTTTGGTCTGTGGTTTCCCTGAGGCATTTTTATCTTTCCCAAATGACCCCCTTGGGAAAATGAGGCAGCTCGATATATAAAAATAGCCAGGATGTGAGAGAGGAAGTGAGAGGTTTCCCAAGAGAGGGCAGAGCGACGGTGGTAAGAGCTCGGAGTCAGCCCCGCACCTCCACGGGGTGGCCCCTCCTCAGGATTATCCAACCAGCCCAGGGATCTGAACGACTTCCTCCTTCCTGGACAGAGACCATTGTCTTGAAGACAGTGGCGGGTCCTCTGTGTTGGTCTGACCTTGGCTGAGGCTGGGCGGTTACCGGGCTCTCCACCTCTACCTGGAGAGGGGGAAGGGCTCTGTATCCCTGCTGTGTTTCCCAAGGGAAGGCTTGTCTGCTGAAACCCCTAAGAAACTCCTGCGATGTTATAGGGAAAAAAAGGGAAGCTTTTGCCTTCTTGTGGAAATCAGAGTTTAGGGGAAGGAGGTGTCTGAATTATTCACTTACTCACCCACCCACCCACCCACCAGTCACTGGGTGTTGTGTTAGTTCCCAGGGCTGCCCTACCGAAGTACAAACTGGGTGGCTTGAAGAACAGGGATTTATTCTGCCACAGTTCTGGATGCCCAAAGGCAAGGGGTCAGCAGGGCCACGCACTCCCCGGAAGCTCTAGGGTTCAACCCTCGGTTGCCTCTCCCGGTTTGGAGTACTTGCCAGCAATCTTTGCATCCCCTGGGTCGTGTCTGTGAAGTGTCTGTGCCACCACTGCTTCTGTCACCCCATAGCCTCCTTCCCTCTGTGTCCTGTCTCTTCACGTGGCCTCTTAAGAGGGTGTCAGTCATCAGATTTACAGCCCGTCTTAATCCAGTATGATCTTGCCTTCTCTAGTGGCATCTGCAGAGGCTCTACATCCAAATAAGACCCCATTCTGAGGTTCTCTGTGCCTTTGAATTTGGGGGAGACACTATTCAACCCAGTTCAGGTGTCTTTATGCCAGATACCCTGCCAGTGGGCCTGGATATAGAGACGAATAAGTCCCCCCACAATGTCACAGTCTACAGAAGAGGTAGACACAGAAGCAAATTATCGGACTGCTCTGCCCTGAATGTGAACTAATGCTTCACATTTATTGAGCACTTACTAAGGGCCTGCCACAATATACATTTTCTATCAATCAGTGAATGCATGGCTAAAGAACATGTGGGATTTTTATGACAGGAAACATTATTCACCCAGAAAAAAAAGAAGGAAATCCTGCCATTCATGGCAACATGGATGGACCTTGAGGGCATGAGGCTCAGTGAAAAAAAGTCAGACAGGGAAGGACAGATACTGTATGGCCTCACTTATTTGTGGAATCTTAAAAAAAAAAAAAGAATTCAGAAATACAGAGAACAAATTTGCGGTTTTCAGAGGCAGGGGTTTGGGGATGGGGGAAGGAGAGGAAGGGGGTCAAAACTTCCATTTGTCAGATAAGCAAGTCCTGGGGATGTAACATACAGCATGGTGACCACAGTTGAGAACACTGGATTGTATATTTGAAAGTTGCTAGGAATAGATCTTAAAAATTCCAATCATAAGAAAAAAATTTGCAACTATGTGAGGGGATGAATGTTAACTATACTTACTGTGGCTATCATTTTGCAATATATACATAAATCATTACGGTGTACATCTTAGACTAATATAATGTTATATGTCAATTATATCTCAATAAAACCGGAAAAAATGTAAAATTTTGAAAATTAAAAAAAAAAAAAGGTGCATTCAAACTCATATCATCCTCCTAGACAGCCCAGGAGGTGAATGCTACTATTCTTTCCGTTTTAGAGATGGGGAAACTGAGCTCCCAAAAAAGCCGTAGGTCAGAGCTCGCTCCCTTGGTTCTGGAAGCCAGGGCACGCCTCCCTGAGGAGCTGGCATGGAGGTAGAGACTGTTGGAGGAGAAAACGGGAGCTCTGGGAAGGCTGGAGGGCAGATGGGGCGAGCAAATGTTCCAAGCAGAGGGAAGAGCCAGCGCCAAGGCCGTGAGTCAGGCACAAGCTTAGCATGTGTGAGAGGGAGGGAGGAGGCGGCTGCCTCACAGAGAACTAACTGCCTGAGAAGCCAGGTGAGCTTAGACAGAGGGGCCCTGGGGCCAGACTTAGTCTTTGTAAGAGTCTCTTGGGCTGCTGCTGGAAAACAGTCCCCAGCAGAGTAGGAGGGGCCGCTGGCTCAGCTCAGAGCAGAGGTCAGGAGGAAGGGCTGGGTTTGGCTTGCTGTTGATAGGACTGCTGATGGATGTGAAGGGGAGGGGGCCGAGAAATCCCAGCTCACCGCCTGAATATCTGGGGGTGTAAGATGCCGCAAGGAGGTGAGGCTGATGAGGTCGGGCAGGAGTAGTTGCCTGGGTTTAACATGTGTGTTAGGCATTTGTTGGCATTTGAAGCCAAGGGACTGAATCTGAATGGGGCCTTCCCGGGCCACAGTCGTGTAGTTCCGGGGAACCTGGGTCCCAAACCTAGAGGTCCTGTAGAAAACTTTGGAGCGGGGGCGGGGGGGCATGTTGGAAATACAGACTCCTGGGCTTTATCTCAGACACGCTGAGTTCTGATGTAAGAGCGTCCGGGAGTCTGCAGGGTTAGGACGCCTACTGTCCTTCCGGAGTCAAACTTGCTTTCCTTAAGCACTTCCTCTGGGCCAACACTTTTCAGTCCTTGTTTTTTTAATCTCATAAGAATTCCATGAGATCCTTTCTCCCCTCCCTCCATCACAGATGAGAACCAGAAGGCTGAGAGCATCTCAGTCACTTGCCCTTGTCTCCCAGCAAATGTATTCAAGCGGCTGGGGGACGGGGAGCTGGGCGCCTCAATCTGTAACCTTGAGTGCATTTCATGAATCTCTTGAATCTTCAGGCCTCTTTCTTTCAACCAAGGGCTTTCTCCAGTGCCTGGGGCTTACTTCAGAAAAGCGGTGTCCGGCTTCTTGCCCCGAGTCTGGCTTAGAATGTTGCAGCCGCCTGTGGATCTCCTCTTTGAGTAAATATTTAAAGCGGATTTAAATTTTTCCTCTTCAACCTTTCTAAATAAAAATAAATCTCGCCCTCTGGACTGTGTCCACTTGCTTCCCGTTTATTTAAGAGCTCCGTTTATCCTGCTGAGTGCCGGTGAAGTGGGGCCCAGGCAAACAGAGGATACCTGTGGTCAAGGAAGGAGAAGAAGGTTCTGCAACCCCGGGCTGATCCCCCCCAGCACCCCCCACCCCACCCCAGCAGCTGCTCCTGCAGAGCCGGCCCCAGTCATGCCTCCTCACTGGGGCGCAGCAAGCAAGCTTGCTACCAGGCTCATTTGCAACCCTTGCATTTGGCTGAGTTGCGCCCGCTCCCCCAGGGGACCAGCTCTGGAGGGAGTCACGTCCCAGACAGATTCCCAGATACCGAGGTAAATGCTCACGATCTACCGTCAGGGATCACAAGTTGCAAACTTTTCAATGATGAAAAAAATGCTGTTTGTTTTCTTTTTTAGGAGTTAGATCCCCGGGCCCCCAGAGACAAGTCGACAGAATGAGACAGTAAGTGACCACTGACTTCCATCTGAAATCATTTTAATCCACGGAATTCCAGAAAATTCCACTTTTCCTACTTCAACCGCACCCCCTCTTCCCTTTGTTTGTAATTTAGTCGCCGTTTCCCAAAGACACGCAGCAGTGAAGATTCTCGTTCAGAAGGCCCTGCAAAATCAAAAAGGAAAAAAGAGACATCGCGCCCCTCCCCTCGCCACCATGTCTGTCCCCCTGGTTCTGCCAGAACTCCACCGGCTTGCCAAGAGCCACCCAGGAACAGATTTCCTGTCTCGTCTGCTGCATCTGGTGGTCCACTCCTACTCCCCCCACCAAAGGCACTGCTGGCCACAAACCGGCTGCAGACGCCGAGCTCGCCATGGCGCTGATCCTCGTGGCTGCAGCCGCCCTCGCTTCTGCTTCTTCCGGAAACGCAGAGAAGCAGCCGCCCTCCCTCCACCCAGCCAGGTGACACAGGGCAGCTCTCTGGTGGCAGGGCCACGTCCAAACCCCCCCCCCACCCCCCGACCCCCCGCCCAGGAAGCCAAGTCTTTACCGTCTATACACTCGCTCCTCTATTCCATGCCCGCGGCTTACACTTAGCTGGGAATAACCTCACCTCCGGTTCAAGCCACGGGAAAGTCAGGAGGCTTGGGTGGTATTTCAGGCTGAGTAATTGCCTCGCTGGGGTTGGGGTGGAGGGTGGGGTGCTGGCTGAGGGAATAATCCTTTCTGAGCCAGGGTGTCTCTGACTTGAAAACAGAGAAATCTCCCAGACAATAGGTGTTTGTCAGGTGCACTGAAATTGGCTACTAAAAGATAAATCTTTATTTTAACAGGTGAATCCTGTTTATTTTCATCTTCCCTTACCCCCACCCCACCTTTTCCTTTTCAGTTGGTCTGGAGCATCCTCAATGCCTCCTCAGTGCCCCAGGCAACCTGTGTAGACAACCTACTATTTATCTGTTATGGACCGGATATTTGGGTTTCCCCAAATTCATATGTTGAGGTCCTACCTCCCAGAGTGCTGGGGTAGGGAGGCGGGGCCTATGGGAGGTACTGAGGGTAGAGCCCCCATGGTGGGATTAGTGGCTTTCTAAGAAGAGGAAGAGACCTGGGAATTTCCTCTCCCCTGTCCGGTGAAGATAAAGGCGGCCATCTGCAAGACAGGAAAAAGGGCCTTTACCAAGAATGAGATCTACTGACACCTTGAACTGGGACTTCAGCCTCCAGAACTGTCGGAAATAAATGTCTGTTGATGAAAACCAGTCTGTGAGATTCAGTTATAGCAGCTGGAGGAGACCAAGACATTATCCTTTCGCCACTTTTCCTCCATGTTCGTCTAATCATCCATAACCATCAAAGAACATCTGTTTAAATACATATATGTTTATCATTGTTTTCTTATTTTTATATTTTTCTGTATCTTGCTTTTTGTTTGTTTGTTTGTTTGTTTTCTCTAGCACCTAATGGAATCCCTCCTAATTCACTCAGGCTAGCTCTAAGTTATCTTTCTGAACAGCCACAAAGTGGAGTAGAACTACAGTTTCTTTAACCGTTCTCCTACAGAGAATATTTACTTTGTGTCCAGTTTTTTGTTTGCTTGTTTAATCAACGTTTACAATGGAGTGCATTTCTATGAAAATACATCCTTAGGTCTTAAAGCTTTCACTCCTAAGGGATAGATTCCTGGGAGTGCAGATTCTGAGTCAGACATGTATGTATTTTTAATCATAAAAGATGTTGCCACATTTCTTTCAAAAAAGATTGCATTAATACATACTTCCAACCAGAAATGTACTAGAGTCCACACATCCTCTTTAGCAATAGGGATTATTGTTCCCCCATTTTTCCATCTGATCAGTGTAAATAACTGTCTCGTTGTGACTTTACTTCCTATCTCCCTGATTGCCCCTGAATTTGAGCCTCTTTTCATGCATGTGCTGGTCACCTGCAATTGCTTTTCTGTGAATTACCTATTCACATCCTTGGCTCAGTTTTCTGTTGTGCTGTTTATCCCTGACTTACTTGTTTTGTAAGAGTTCTTTGTATATTATTGTATATTTGTATATTATTGTATATTTGTTCACCCTCTGATCTCTGGGTTGCTCCCCAGGCTAGTGTTTATCTATTGACTTAGTTTATGGTGGCTTTTCCAAGCCATAGCTTCTCATTTTTATCTCATCAAGTATGTATGTATGTACTTTATAGCTTCTGAATTTCCACCATTGATTAAAAAGCTCTCACCCACCCTAGATTTTACATGTGGTGATCCAGTATTGTTGTTGTTTTAATTTTTACATTTAGATCTTCAATCTACCTAGAATTTATTTTGTGTATGGGGTAAGAGAGGAGCTAAGGAAGGGCTTGATCCCAGGACCCTGAGATCATGACTTGAGCTGAAAACAAGAGCCAGAGGCTTAATCAACTGAGTCACCCAGGTGCTCCTCATCTTTATTTAATACCCAATCCTTCCCCACTGGATTGAAAAAATCACTTTTTAAAAACAGCTTTATTGATTTTCAACAACATGGATAGAGCTAGAGAGCATAATGAAACGTTAGGCCAAATAAGTCAGAGATAGACATACTATCTGATTTCACACATATGTCTAATTTAAGAAACAAAATAAGTGAACAAAGAAGAAAAAAAGAGAAACCAACCAAAAAACAGACTTTTAAACCATACAGAACTCTAAACCATGGTAACCCTCAGTTACCAGAGGGGAGATGGATGGGGGTCTGGTTGAAATAGGTGATGGGGGTTAAAGAGTCCATTATCATGATGAAGACTGAGTAATGCATAACATTGTTGAATCACTACATTGTACACCTGAAACTCATATAACACTGTATGTTAACTATACTGGAATTAAACTTTTAAAACTTAAAAAAAAACAGTTTTATTGAAGTATAATTTACACACTGTAAAATTCATCCCTCATTAAGTAATTTGAGTAAGTCAACAGAGTTTTGCAACCATCACAATCTAGTTTTAGAACATTTCCGTCACCCCAAAAAGTTTTCTTGCATCTGTTTACTCTCTAGCCTAGGCAACCACAGATCTGTTTTCTACGGCTATAAATTTGCCTTTTCTAGACAAGAGGAATCACTTTTGTCCTACTTGAAACTATAAATATATGGTTAGGACTCTCTGCTTTGTCCATTGATTCATTTGTTTATCCTTCAACACACTAGAAATAAGAGAAAAGAATATGAAGAGTTTTTGAAAAGGAAATACAAATGCTCTTTAAAGAGCCTCAACTCACTCCTAATTAGAAGGAAAAGACAAGTACGGACGAAAATTATGCTGAGATACCATTTTTCACCTTTTAAGTTGGCAATAATTCAGAAGTTTGTAACACACCATGTTGGTGAGGTTATGGGCAAACATATTCTCATTCATTTCTGGTAAAAGCATAACCCTTCGGCATAACCCCTACGTAAGGCAGTTTGGCAATATTTCAAATGCATATTTCTGGCAATGGTACTTTTGGTAAATTATTCTAAAGATATATTTAGGAGAAAAGACGTGGATACACACACACACACACACACACACTCACATTGTAACAGTGCTTATAGTAACAAAACATTAGAAATAACCTGAACAACCAATAACAGGAAACTAGTGAAATAAATTATCATATATCTATACAATGGAAGGTAAAGCATCTAAATAATAGAGAACAAATAAGCTCTTTTTGTATTACAAATATCTCAGAGATTTAGTAAGTAAAAAGCATGATTCGGAGTGTATGATATGATACCCTTTGTGTAGAAAATGTGGAAAAAAACAAGATTCTCTATTTCTTTCTACCTATCTATCTAAATTCTGGAAGGATATCATATGGTGGGGGGTTAGATGAACCTGGGCAGATGTGGGACAAAGACAGGAGGAAAGTTTTCACTGCATATTTTTTCCCCTTAATTTAATTTATATTAATTTTTTGCCTATTCAAAATTTTCTCTTTGCTATCCCTAGGCATTTATCCCTTTGTATACAAGTTTATCCGATTCTCACTTTCTCAATGCTACTGGCCTTGCAATTATAATCGTATTAAATTTATACCTTAATTTTGGGAGAATGGACTTTTACATTATGTTGTCTTCTCAACCAAGACTGTTAAGGATTTTTTCCATTTGTTAAGATTTGGGTTTAGATACTTTGACAAGATGTTATAGTTTGATTTAAATGTCCTTACTTATTAAATTTATTTCTAGAAAAATTTTTAGTTTATTGTGAATGAAACACTTTTCCCATTTTTTTTTCAAGTGCTTACTGTCAGAACACAGAACATTCACTTCCTTTATTAATTCTAGTAATATTTTATAAGGTTATCTTGGATTTTCCAGGTATATAACCATATCAACAGTTAGTTTAGACACTTCCTACATTTATGTTTTATAGGTCCAAAAGAGCCGGAGATTGGTGATTTCATACGATTCAATATGAATGTTTGTTCTTGGTTTCCATACCTCTTTTGCCTGAAGTTTTTATTAGAAATGGCTGTTAAGGGGTGCCTGGGTGGCTTAGTTGGTTAAACATCTGCCTTTAGCTAAGGTCATGATGCCTGGGTCCTGGTCCTGGGATTGAGCCCTCTGCCCAGCTCCCTGCTCAGCCAGAAAACTACTTCCCCCTCTCCCTCTGCCCCACGCACCCTGCTCCAGCTCTCTCTCCCTCTCTCTTTCAAATGAATAAATAAAATCTTAAAAAAAAAAAAAGAAAGAAAGATTTGTCCTCTTCTAACATTCCAGTTATGTGAGTGAGTAAATTCCACATTTGTTTAGTAAGTTTGAATTGGGCTTCTGTCACACACCATAGGAGGAAACCTGATAGACACAGCAGGAGGTGGGACTGAAAGGTCCAACACTTTAAGCACAAGCGTGGGGCCCCTGATAACCATTCCCTCATCCTTTGATTACCTAGGGACTTTCCAAAAGCCACCTTTATTGCTCTCATCACTTAGGATATTCCAAGGGTTTCAGGAGTTCTGTGCCAGAAATGGGGACAAAGACAAAATATATATATTTCTTAGTGCAAATCACCATATGGCAGAGAGGATAGATACTTGTACATTAAGACAGATACTGGTCAGAGTAAAAGGAGAAATTTATGTGAATCTTGAAGATTTCAAAGAAATCTTATACTTATGTCAGACTCCTTAGGCCAATGAACTCTTGAATTTCTGGCAACATACAATTTTGATGTAATTGCTCCACCTTAAGGAAAACCCACCCCTGACCCTGTATTTTCCCCTAGCTATGGCCCTTTCATTTGACTTCCTGTATAGCTAAACTCATTCAAAGAGTGTCCACATTT